TTTTAAAAAACAAGGACATTCTTGTAACTCAATGGCAAGAAAGCAAACAAACCAAGTGAAAATAGGTAATAACTTGTCTAGACATTTTCCCAAAGAAGATATACCAATGGCCAATGAGCACTTGAAAAGATGTTCAACATTGTTAGTTATTAGGGGAATGAAAATCAGACCACAAAGAGAAACCACCTCACACTGGCTGGGGTGGCTGTTATCAACAAGTATTGAGGAAGATGTGGAGAAATTGGAAACCTTGTTCCTTACTGGTGGGAATGCAAAATGATGTAGCTGCCACAGAAAACAGTTTGGCAGTTCCTCAAAACCTTAAACATATAATTACCATATGACTCAGCAACCCTACTTCTATCTATCTACCTAAAAGAATTGAAAACAGGGACTCAAAGACTTGCACACCCATGTTTATAGCAGCATTGTTCACAATAGCCACAAGGTGGAAACAACCCAAGTGTCCATCAACAGATGAATGGATAAGCGAACGGTGCTATCTATCTATATCCATCCATCTATCCATCCATCTATATACACAAAAGTTTATTACTCAGTCATATAGAACAAAGTTCTAAGAGATGCTACAACATGGGTAAACTTTGAAAACATTATGCTAAGTGAAATAAGCCACATATGAAAAAACATGGTGTGATTCCACTCATAAGAGGTATCTAGAATAGGCAAATTCAAAGAGACAGAAAGTAGAACCGAGGTTACCAGGGGATGGGAGGAGGGAAGAATAAGGAGTTATTGCTTAATGGGTAAAGTTTCTCTTTGGGATGATGAACAACATTTAGAAATAGGTAGCAGGAATGGTTATACAACATTGTTAGTGTACTTAATGCCACTTAAGGTATGTATAAAAATTGTTAAAATGGCGAATTTTATGTTATATATATTGTTATGGACTGAATGTTTTTGTCCTCCTTCCCTCAATTTATATGCTGAAGTCTTTTTTCTTTTTTTGATTGGAGTCTCACTCTGTCGCCCAGACTGGAGTGCAGTGGCCACTCCCAGCCACCACAGCCTCGACCTGCTGGGCTCCAGCGATCCTTTTGCCTCAGCCTTCCAAGTAGCTGGAACTACAGGCGCGCGCTACCATGCCCAGCTAATTTTTTTGATTTATTGTAGAGATGAGGTCTTGCCAAGTTGCTCTGGCGGGTCTCGAACCTGCGGGCTCAGGCAATCCACTCACCTCAGCCTCCCAAGGTGCAGGATTACAGGCTGAGCCACCGAGCCTGGCTGAATATGCTGAAGTCTTAATCCCCCAATGTGCACTTAGAGATGGGGCTTTTGGAAGGTAATTAGGGTTAGATGAGGTCATGAGGGTGGGGCCTTCTTGATGACATCACTGTCCTTATAAAGAAAAGACACCAGAGAGCTTGCTACCTATCTTTACAATTATGTGCTGAGAAAAGAGCATATGAGCACACAGCAAGAAGGTGACCATCTGCAAGCCAGAGAGAGAGCCCTCACCAGAACCCAACCATACTGATACCTTAATCTTGGACTTCTCAGTCTCTAGAAATGTTAGAAACTATGTTGTGTTGTTTAAGACATCTAGGCTTCAGTATTTTATTATGGTGGCCGAACTGGCAAGACATATTTACCACCATAAAAATTATTTTTAAAAATCATGGTAATATGATGTATATAGTTTTAAAAATAAAATAGCACCAAAAATTTTAAATAAAAAAAAGTCATTATTCCACTTCCTTGCACTTCGCCCTCAGTCTTTTAGTTGCTTCTTTTGGTAACTATTGGCATATTTCTTTTTCTTTTTTTTTTTGAGTTGGAGTCTCACTCTGTCACCCAGGCTGGAGTGCAGTGGCACACTCACAGCCACAGTAGCCTCAATCTGCTGGGCTCAGGCCATCCTTCGACCTCAGCCTTCCAAGTAGCTGGAACTACAGGCACACGCCACCATGCCCAGCTAATTTTCTGATTTATTGTAGAGACAAGGTCTTGCCAAGTTGCCCAGGCTGGTCTTGAACCCCTGGGCTCATGCAATTCTCTTGTCTCCACCTCCCAAAGTGCTGGGACTACAGGCTTGAGCCACTGTGCCCGGCTTGTATGTAGTCTTTTACCTATGTTTTATCCTTGATCCTCACTACCACTCTATGAAGTAGGTATGGGCATTTACATTTGTATTTCTGATGAGGAAACACGGGCACAGAAAGTTGGATAATCTACTCTAGGACACCCAGTCAGGAAGTTGAAGCTTGGAAGAGAGCCCCTAGGGCTGATCTTGGTCTGACAACTCTCCAGTTTCGGACCACAAACTCCCTTTTCTTCAGGGGAACTTGTGTGGATCTCTGCTGAACTTCCAAAGTTCCTGCTTAAAGCACTTAGTAGAACCTGAAATGGACTAAGAGAACTAATTAGAACGAGCCCGTTGTATATTCATAGAGTCCCAGCAAGCCCCACCTGGCTGGAAGAATTGAGGAAAAAGTTAGAGCAAGAGTCTTCAGAGACATTTAAGTCCATCACTGAATCCATCCAGATTGCCCTGCCCCATTCCCAGCTATGTATCAGTGGGGCTACTGTCAAGCATTCAGATTGGATGACTTTAGGTTGGTGTCCATTCCCTGAACCAATCAGCTGTGGCCAGCAATTGTGTAATACCAAATGCAGTGCACAGCAGGGGTGAGGCAGATTCCTTTAGAAATAAATGTAGGTGGGGCAAGCTGTGATTGACTCTCCAGTATGAGGTGAGAAGTAGTCATGAATACATTCAAATTATCACTGTGACAGGCACATAGTTGTTGCTCAATTAATATTTGTTAGATACATAATAAATTGGAATTTTAGTACTACTGTATAATTGGTTTTCCCAGCCTTCAAGTTGCTTAAAGTTACCCAATGCTTCAATATTCGAAATTTTCCTACAATAGCCACAATGGATAGTTTCTTTTGAGACTCTCAAAGAAAGCCTAGCACTTGAGGGTACAGGCTGCAGAGGCAGAGGGCCTGGGTTTTAATTTCAGATAAACTTTTTCCTGTCCTAGTGACCTTGTGCAAGTAACTTGCCCTTCTCTGAGTTTTATCTCCCAATTTGTAACATGAAGATAAAAATCATCCTTGTAGCCAGGCTCGGTGGCTCAGCCTGTAATCCCGCGCTTTGGGAGGCTGAGGTGAGTGGATTGCTTGAGCCAGTGGGGTTTGAGACCCGCCTGGGCAACTTGGTGAGACCTCACCTCTACAATAAAAAAAAAAAAAATCAGTTGGACATGGTAGCGCATGCCTGTAATTCCGGCTACTCGGAGGGCTGAGGCGGAAGGATCGCTGGAGCCCAGCAGGTCGAGGCTGCAGTGGCCAGGAGTGGCCACTGCACTCCAGTCTGGGCGACAGAGTGAGACTCCAACTCAAAAAAAAAAAAAAATCATACTTGTTTCATAGGATTGCTGCAAAGATCAAGGGGACAATGTGGTGAAAGACACACCTAGGTGCCTGGCACACACTCAGCTCTGGGTTTCCAAGTTCTTTTTCGGACTTGATGTGTGATTGTGATGTGTGTTTGATGTGAGATCATTTCCACTTCCAGGATTTTTGTTTGTTTGTTTTCACCATCTCCCAACTCCCTCCCTCCCTTTGTCAACAATTTAAAAAAATGTTTTCCTCTGCCTTTACCTCCATATGAGTCTCTAGTCAATCATCATGCTCTTGCTTCCTGCCGACAGCCATCATGGGTCATCTTTGTAGTTATCTGTTGTATACTTTTTTATTTGTTCGGATTTGACCAGAGGTTTTCACTCAGGGCTACTGGGGAGCTTTAGAAAATACCCAGGCTTGGTCGGGCTCAGTGGCTCAGTCTGTAATCCCAGCACTTTGGGAGGCTGAGGTGAGTGGACTGCCTGAGCCCTTGGGTTCAAGACCAGCCCGGGCAACTTGGTGAGACCTCATCTCTATAATAAATCAATAATTAACCGGGCGTGGTAGCACATACCTGTAGTTCCAGCTACTTGGAAGGCTGAGGTGGAAGGATCACCTGAGCCCAGCAGGTTAACACTGGGGTGGCCATGGGTGTGCCATTGCACTCCAGCCTGGGCGACAGAGTGAGATTCCAATTCAAAAAACAAAAACAAAAACCCAGGCTAAGGCTCCATCTTCAGAAATTGAGTTCAATTGGTCTGGGATGGAGCCAGGTGATTTTTATGTGAAACCTGGGGTGAGAACCATTCATTCAGCAAACATCTACTGAACATCTTTTATGTGTCAGGCACTGTCTTAGGTACTTGGGTTACAACAGTGAAACCTCATGGGACTTAAGTTTTTCTTTTTTTGATTTATTGTAGAGATGAGGTCTCGCTAAGCTGCCCAGGCTGGTCTTGAACCCGTGGGCTCAGGTAATCCTCTCGTCCTGGCCTCTCAAAGTGCTGGAATTATAGGTGTGAGCCACCGCACCTGGCTGAGGGGCTTAAGTTTTAAAGAGGACAGAAATTTTAGTGGTTGGAAGGCCAGGGAAGCCATTGAATTAGATAGGGAGGATATTGAAGGCAAGGACTTCTTTTTCTTTTTCAGAGATGAGGTTTCACTATGTTGGCGAGGCTGGTCTTGAACCCTAGGCCTCAATCCATCCTCCTGCCTTGGCTTTCCAAAGTGCTGGGATTACAGGTGTGAGCCTCATGCCTGGCTCAGGAACACTGTCTTACTCATTTTTGATTCCTCAGAGTCTAGGCTGTAGAAATCACTAATACTTATTGAATGAACAAATGAATGATCTTTGATCTTCTCATACTTGTTACATTTTTTTCTTAATTTCCCTAGCCCTTCGGCTTTATAATGACAATGACATGTCGAATTTGGTCTGCCATGCCCCCAATGCCTAGTTCAGTGCCCTGCACACAGTAGGCTCTTGATAGGCTGTACTTGCATGAATACATTTTAAAAAATGCATACCTGTATTTGTTACAGCGGCCTGGGTTTCAAGACTTTTATATAGATCACACTAACGAATCCCTACAAAGGAACGCTTAGAGAGGCGTTGTCAACCCAAGGGTGCTCCTCGGTCCCTCGACAGCCATTTCACAGCGTGCCCTGCAGCATCCCAGAAAGGCCCCGGCAGCCACCGAGAGCCAGTCAACTCCCCTGAGCAGAAGGGCTCTCCCCGCCCCCTCTCGCGCGCAGCTAGCTCTGCCCTCCGCCTCCTCCTCTCCGCCCACTCTCGCCGCGGTCTCCCGGCGGCGGCTTTGTCTCGGGGGCTGGTCCCCAACGGCTCCCGCCCCAAACAGCTGCCGCCCGAGGGAGGAAGCGGCGCGGGAGCTGTCCGGCACTCCAGTGCTGAAACCCCGAGGGCCCCCATCCGCCACTACCATGTAAGGGCCATGAAAAGGGCTCGTCCTGGCGCAGCGCGGCCATGGAGGAGGACCTATTCCAGCTAAGGCAGCTGCCGTGAGTATCATGGGGGCGAGCGAGAGGCAGTAGGCTTTCTTTCGAAAGACGAAACCCTGCAGGGGGGGCATCTCTGCATGGCTTCTTGAATCTAAAGGGAGCTGTTTCCGAGGAAGGAATCAGGCCTGGAGGAGGCAAGCCATTTTCCTTCCCCAGCAGCCCAGCCTCTGTGTCTCTGACTCGGTTCAATTTTTCAGACCTGTCAGGACCTTATGGGGAGCCACAGGGGTTACGCTTTCCCTTTTGATTGCTCTCAATCCTAAAGAGATTTCGAGGTCGGTGCCTTATAAAAGCATTCGCCGCTGTTTTGAAATGTGGACTGAACTGATGAGTCCACGCAATGACATCGGTCCTTTCCAGCCCTTCTCCTATGCTGTGAAACTCCTAATTTTTCTGCAAGGTCTTTTGGAAAGAAAGGATACTGATGCTGCAAACTGGTTTCTAAAAAGCCGAGATTCCTTCCGAGAGGAGAGGCTTGGGCAAAGTCCTGTTGTTTATGAAGTGTGTGAATGAGAGGGCTGTGCACCGGCGCTGAAACCTCTTGCCTTCTTCTGAATGAAAGGTTTTTGTAACAGCCAGCCAGAGTGACTCCCACTGGAACATCAGGAATACATTCCTTTGAGGATTAGAATTTTTAAGAGATACCAGATTTGCTCTGAGAATCTTGGGGAAATACAACCAATTAATGGAAAGGACAGGGGCCTTGTGGAGGGGCTTACAGATTTTTCTTATTACACGCGGATAGTGATTTTTAAAGTAAATTCCAAGGCTATGTCACATGCTCTGACATTATTGGAAAATTTATCCCAGTAAATTTGTTAAAAATAACATTTCTGGGGGTGTTCGTTTTAATTTTTAGAATTACTAGCCAGTTGAATGGTAAATATAGATTCCCTTGGGTTTGTTGAAAAACGTCAATTATTGTTAGCATGTGTGTATTTTCTGTACTTAAAAAATGGTGGGTTTTTTCTCTAAGCTACTGAGGAATTCTCCCAAGTGACTTTTAGTGTGATGAATTCAGTTCTCTGAGGCTCTGAGTACTGAAGAGGATTGGAGTGTTTGCTTCTCAATCAGTGTAAAATTAATTTTCATTTAACATTTCAATTAATTAAACATTTTTAAAGCTTTTATTAACCCACAAATAATATATCTTATTATGTAATCCAGCATTATGTCACAAATGCTAGAGGATGCCTACTTATAATACCTAGAGGTCGATGTATAAGTACATCAAAATGTAAATGTCTCATTGCACATCTCTCAAGGAAAACATAACAATTTCATTGAAAATAATTATCATGTTTAAACATCAAAATATTGTCCAAAAATAAAAAATAATTTGAAACAAGAAATATGAAACTTGGTACTAAGAATAAGATTGCATATTGGAACTGCAGTTTTACTGGGATAAATTTTCCAACAATGTCAGATCATGTGAACTTTGCAAAAGACTCATGTATATTTAATCTACTAATATGCAGATTTGATATTATCATGACAATTCCTTCCTTAATTAAAAAAAAAAGTAAAAATAGGAAGAGGTTTTTACTTATTTAAATTTAAAAATTAATTTTTTATACAAATATAATATGATGTACCAAGAAATAAAGGTAAATAAAATTCAAAGAGAAAAACAAGAATAAAAAGTAAATTTTCCTGTTCTCAAACCCCAGTCATATAGTTTTTTTATTATTCTTTCTGAATAATCAATTTATATCTTATAGATATAAATGCATGTATTATTTATTAGAGAGGCCAAATTGTGTAGTAGTTAGGTACATTGGCTCTTGAAGCAGGGAGACTTGGGTTCTTCCTAGCTGTGTGACTTTAAGCAAGTGACAACCTTTCTGAGACTCAGTTTTCCTATCTATAAAATGAGGATCATAATAGTACTTGATTCATAGAGTTATTTTAAAGACCAATAACCCTAAATGCTTGGCAGACACAACACACTCAGTGCATATTAGCTATTATTATTATATTATTACATCTGAAAAATTATTTATAAAAATGTAGGTTCACTATGCCAGACTCCTAAAAATTGTAATCTGCAAACTCTAAATGACATTTGAATGAAGTCGAAATTAGCCCTGATATGTTGACCTCAATTTCTAAAAAGGAATAAGCCAAAAGGAGTGACCACAGAAATCTAAGTGGGTTACAAATCACGATTTGGATGTTTTTTAAACCACACCCTGTGTATATTATGCACAGATTGCAGGCAGCAGATTTCCTGAGCGCAATATGGTTAAAAAAAATTCAGAGTGCCTTGTAGAGGATTGGCAAGAGTGGACTTTAGAATAGGCTCAGTCCTGTGGGAGGCCAAGTGTTAGTAGATTATAAGCCACTAAGTAGTTTACAGGGTTGGAGGAGGGGGAGAGAGGGGGGAGTGTCTAAGAAAACAGTCCTCACTTGCACTTGGGGGCACCTTCACACACTCTGGAATCATTTGAGACACAAACGTCTGTCACCTGCTGTCCACTCATGGACCGCACCATGTAGAAGAGGTGCAGGAGGCTCAGAGTTTGCATCCAGTTCTGCCTTAGTGTGTGACCTTGTGCAAATCAGACTTTTCTAGATCTCTTCATTCTAGAATAATTTCTTGAAAACAAATTTTCAGACTGTGTTGATTGACTGATTGCTTCATTCATTCATTTGTTCACTGATTTACTTGGATGTCCTCCTAGTTACAAAAGGTTTTACATCTAATTAAGGTAGAATGGTTCTTGCCCTCAAGTAACTCACAGGCTGGAGCTGTGATCTCCCATATGGTAGCCACTAGCTCCATGTGGCTATTTAAATTTTAGAAAAATCTTAATTATGTAACTTGTTTATAAAGTAATTTATACCGTATCATATGCAATATTAAATATGTAAAATTAACAAAAATCTCTCCCTCAGTCACACTAACCGCATTTCAGGTGCTAGTAGTTATGAGTGCCTAGTGGCTACTGTATTGCATAGCATAGGTCTAGAACATTTTCATATTTGTAGAAAGTTCTATTGGATAGCACTGGTCTGGTGGGAGAGCTGGACATTGAACAAAATATTGCAAATAATTATGAGAATTGTGTATGTGTGTGTGTGTGTGTGTGTTTTTGAGTCTGAGTCTCACTCTGTCACCCAGGCTGGAGTGCAGTGGTACGTTCATGGCCACCCCAGCCTCAACCTGGGTTCAGGCAATCCTTCAGCCTCAGCTTCCCGAGTAGCTGGGGCTGTAGTTGTGTGCCACCAAGCCCTGCAAATTTTCTGGTTTTTTTTTTAATAGAGATGAGATCTCACTACATGGCCTAGGCTGGTCTCCAGCTCCTGGGTTCAAGCAATCCTCCTGCATCAGTGCTAGGATTATAGGTATGAGCCACCACACCCAGCTGAGAATTGTCTTAAGTGTTATCAAGAGCTCCTGCAGTATAAGAAGACTACTTCCAGATGGAGGAGGGGGAGGATCAGGGAAGGCTTTCTCGAGAAAGTGACATTTGAGCTGAGCCCCCAGAAATGTGTCAGAGTCATCCAGGAAAAAGAGACAGCCGAGAAGCATTCTGGGCAGAGGGAACTACATGGGTAATGGTCTTGCATGGGGGGTAAGCTTGGTGTGTCTCAGAATTGGCCAATAGTGCATCATGAATGAGTGACTTAAAGGAAAGCTGCAGAAGACAGCAGGGACCAGGCCATGTGGGACCTTGTGACGTGTGATGAGGAGTTGGGGCTCCACCCTGCATTATTGAACCCACTCTCTCTCTCCTTTCCTACAAACCCTGTCTTTCAAGACTGAGCTGAAGCCCATCATTTTGATGAGTTCTCCCCTGAGTTCTGCTGGCCGTCATCAACAGCAGAGGTCGAAATGTGGAATCGGGGTCAGGTAGACCTGGGTTTCAACTCTGGCTCTGGAACTTGCTATCGAGGTGACCTCGGGCCAGTGACTTCGTCTCCCCAAGGCTGGGTGCCGATCTGCAAAGTTGGACGGGGCTGTGATAGTATCTGCATGGCAGGCTGTTGCAAGCTCAGGGAGCTAATCGCCAGAAGCTTTCAGCACAGAGCCTGGCTCTCAGGAAGGACTCAGTTCACAGCCCTAGTGGTGCTTGTCTTCCTTCACTCTGTTTTCTTTCCTTTTCTCTTTTTCTTTGAGTTGGGATCTCACTCTGTTGCCAGGTTGGAGTGCAGTGGCAGGATCATTGCTAACCAGTCTCAAACCCCTGGACTCATGCAATCCTCCCACCTCAACCTTTCTAATAGCTGGGACTACAGGTGTGCACCACCACACCCAGCTTATTTTTTGATTTTTGTAGAGACGAGGTCTTGCTATGTTGCCCAGGCAGATCTTGAACTCTTGGGCTCAAGCAGTCCTCCTGCCTTGGCCTCCCAAAGTGCTAAGATTACAGACATGAGCCACCACACCTGGCCCTGGTTTTGTTGTCTTTATCCTCCAACTTGTTCAGGTAATAGAGCACCTGGAAGCCATAGTCCCCCCCTTGCGAAACACTCAGCAAATGTCTGGTTTGCTGTGAAAGCACAACTAAACTTGAACCCTTCACCTTTCCTTCCCCTGATCCTCTTTCAGCCTCACCTATCTCAGTTGATGGCAACTCTATCCATGCCATTCGGGTCAGAAACTCTGGGGTCAATGTAGACGCCCCTCTTTCTCTCTCTCCTTACTCTCCATCCATAAGGAAATCCTATTGGCCCTGCCCCTAAGCTACACCCAGATTTCAACCACATCTCTCCACCTCCACTGTGATCACCTGGGTCAAATTCCCTGTCCTCTCTCACCCGGATTGACGGCAGTGCCGCCTGCCCTTGCCTCCCTACAACCTGTTCTCAACACGGCAGCCAGAGGGATCCTTTAAAATCAGATTATGCCAGGCATGGTGGCTCATGCTCATAGTCACAGCACTTTGGGAGGGAGGTGAGAGTTTTGCCAGATGCCAAGGGTTTGAGACCAGCCTGGACAATTTGGCAAGACCTCATCCCTACAGTAAATCAAAAAAATGAATGCACCTGTA